CAAATGATACCGATATATGCAACCGTTTTCCGCAAGCGCTTCCAGCATATTTGGCGAAACCCAGGCATTGCGTTATCGGGTTTTCATTATCGGAGGATAAACCGATAACGATTCTTACAGATATGACATAATTAGGCTAATATTGGGCCGATATTATCGGACATCCTTATTTCTATTCTATTCTATAAACAAAAGAAACAAATACAAAAAAAAAACGTTTTTTGTATTAAGTACACCACAAACATAATCGATCCTAATCAACGGGTCAACGTGAGGTCAAACAAATCACTTTTCTTCTATTTTTCATCTTAGACTTACATTACTAAACTGCTAAGTAAGATATATATAAAAAAAAAGACAAACGTAAAAGATAACGAAGATTAAGTAAAAAATAACGACTGATATCAAAGGTTTGTAAGGGTTTGTTGCAATAAAAGTGACAGAAAAAGTCCTTCAGGCCAAAACCTTTCCCCTTCGCCAAGAAATTGGTTTTTTAGCCAAATGCATTCAAACTGTTAGCTGCAGTTTAACAGTATTCGGAGTCCGGCTCATCCACTCCGTACAACTCGGCCAGGGTCTTGAACCTCGGCCCCCAGTCGGTCAAGAAGTCGTAATCCAAGTTGGACGCGGCGGAGGAACTTTCTATAGAACAAAGGCTACCTGCTAAAGACCCCGGTCCCTCGTAGCCGTAGATGTGGAGGGTGTCATAGGGGTAGCCATCTTTGTCCTGGTCCGCCTCACCCTTTTTCACCTCTATCATCGCGGCCATGTCACCTTTAGGTGCAGTGGGATGATGGGCTTTCTGTGGCACGGCATAGAGGGAGGGGTGGGGGTGGAGGTGGTGGTCGGGACGGCGGAGTAAGGAGCCGTCTTGGCGAGCGGTGGTCAGGATGGACATGTCGAAGCTAAAAGACAAAGGAGAATTCAACAACGCTTGAGACGGGAGACTTTCTGCAGTCGCTCTGTATGTACAGCAGGGGTGTCAAAGTCATTTTGGTTCACGGGTACAGCGTACAACCTAATTAGCTGTCAAATAGGCCGGGCGAGTACGATTATAATGTATTTAACTATAACTGACAATAAGCGCACGTTTTCCACCTTTTTTTTCATGCCAAAAATTTTTTATTTTTCTTATTTTCAAAATTCATTAAACGGGCCAGATTGAACACCACAGAGGGCAGGTTGTGGCCCGCGGGCCGTATGTTTGACACCCCTGATGTGCAGCATAAGGAGCTTTAACAAAAGAAGTCAAAATTCATTTACAATTTTTATAGATTATGAAAATAAGCAGCTAGCCTAGGTGTGCGCAAACTTTTCGCGGGCCACAATTGTCCGAAAATTGAACAGGGGGGGCCGGGTCAGGAGCAGATAGATGGAGCGTTGGTGTGAACTGAAATAAATGACATGTTAAAGTCATTCATAAAGGCTAAAAAGCTAGAAGCATTTTCTACGCCATCTACTGGGGAAACATGGGTATTGCAGGGAAATGACAGAAGTATAATGATAATATAAATAAATTATATAATTTGGAAATGTTTGGCGGGCCGGATTAAAAAGCTGAACGGGCCGCATCCGGCCCCCGGGCCTTAGTTTGGCCTTCCCCGAGCTAGCCCAATGTAGCACACTACTCCCCAAATACAAGATTTACGTCTCGTATGTGTCACATACCCGTTAGTGTCCATTTCTCCTCCGCCCTCTTCGTCATACGTGACCAGCTGCTCATGAAACTCCTGGTTACTCTTCACGTTCAGCATTGAATCTTTGTGGTAGTATCTCTTTACCACAAACAGGATCACGATGACTGTAAAAAGTTGACATGTGTTACTGTGCTTTAGTGACCTCAGAATCATCGCTAGGACGGTGAAAATCAATTCAAAATGAAAAGCCGCTAAACCCGAATGAAGCAGGCGAAAATACAAAGCGTTGCTCAGATATGACGACAGGCTAACATCAGGGTCTCCAACCCCTGGTCCAGGGACCGGTGCCGGTCCGTAGGTCATTTGGTAGCGGGCCGCAGTGGGACACGGTGAAAAAAATGTACTTCGAGTTATTTTGCGTCGAGAATATTTAAACCTTTGACACAGAGATATCGCAGCAGAGGGCTGTACTTATGGAGAAAATCTACGTATCCATCTGGAAGCCAATGTAAACTCAGGTTTCCTTGAACAAACAGAAAAGAACAGGAAGCGCACGACATTCTCGTCCTTTGTCTCCGCTCCGTCTGGTGTTTTCCTGCCTTCTAACATGTCCTCCCTGTTTTTGACTTGTTGGAGCCTCGTTTCAAAATGGCCCCTGTTGCTGAGCAAAGGGGCAGGTGTTATCTGCATATTTGTGTGGGCACAGGTTCAACAATGGACGCTCCCCTCCCATTCACCGCCCCCACGACGCAATACTGCATTTACCAATTTATCTTGGCTAGGGACAAAAGCCACCCTATGAAACCCCCCGGTTAATTACAATGGTAAAGATTTAAATAGGTCTGCCTAAACCAGTGGTTCTCCCTTGGGTACAGAAATGTTTTCACGCCCACTACCCCACCACCCCCCAGCAAATTGAATTACTATTGAGAACCTGATAACATGTATATTTTTATCTGTACAAACCACTGTATGAGAGTTGCTGCCACCTAGTGGCTGGAGGCTTGTTATCATTCAAGGATTACAGCAGTGGTACACTTATGTCCAGCGTGCCATATTCTATTGAAAGACCCTCACAC